GGCTTAAAACAATTGTCTGTAGTTCCCTCCTACCATCCTCCTCTCCACAGCTATCCATCTGTCTATCTAAATATCCACCCTTCTTTTTTTTTTTTTTCAGACAGAGCCTCAAGCCATCACCCTGGGTAGAGTGCCGTAGCAACACAGCTCACAGCAACCTCCAACTCGTGGGCTCAAGCGAGTCTCTTGCCTCAGCCTCCCAAGTAGCTGGGACCACAGGCACCTGGCCCATGCCCGGCTATTTTTTTTTTTTGGTTGCAGCCATCATTGTTGTTTGGCGCCCAGGCTGGATTTGAACCCGCCAGCGCAGGTGTATGTGGCTGGCGCCCCAGCCACTTGGGCCACAGGCGCCGAGCCTGAGCTCATTTCTTGATCTTTCTCTGTGTCTCTGTCCCCACCACACTTGTGGCATCTTTCTCACTCTCATTTTTGGTCAACTTGCTCCTGTGTCTCCCAGGAGAAGGTAGGGGCACCTCTTTCTTAGCCGCCCATGTTCCCTACTGGGACATGCTCTGCTTCCCCACTCTGCCACTGCCTAGGCCCTTCTTGGACTCCAGTCCCACTGGCCACACTCTGTGGGGGGAAGCGTCTGAGTGTGGAGCACTCCTGACCCAAGCATCCCTGCCTGGGCCACGGTGCCATGGGCAGAGCAGACCTCTGGGGCTGGAGCATCTCAGGATGGGGATTCAGTCTCCCTGGAGAGGCAGCTCCCAACAGGTGCCCTATCAAACCTCTCAGATATGGTCACTTGGGATAGACCCAGGGGCATAAAGAATAGGGGGCAGCTGGCAGTGGACCCAGAATCAGGGTTCAGACATGAGAAGTCAGGGTGTGCCCCTCTCCCCTCATCACTGGTGACAGGCATCGTGTTGCCCTTGGCCACATGGACCCCATGAGGCGGTCGCCCTCCCCTTGCCCATCTTCACGGCCCTCCAGCCCCAGGACCCCACCCTGTGAGATGTTTGGTCAGGTGGGCATTGAGGCCGTGCTGGACCAGCTGAAGATCAAAGCCATGAAGATGGGCTTTGAGTTCAACATCATGGTGGTAGGTAAGTGAGACGTAAGGGCCTTCAGGGGGGCAGACCGATGGGGGCTGTCCTGGCATGTTCCTCGCTTGTCCCAGCCTCAGCCTCCTCATCTGTTAAGCTGGCCTGACAGCAGAACCTCACTGGGCTGTTGTAATTGAAACTCATTAAAAGACAAAAGCCAGGCTCGGCGCCTATAGCTCAACCGGCTAAGGCGCCAGCCACGTACACCTAAGGTGGCGGGTTCAAATCCCCAGCCCAGACCCGCCAAACAA